CATTATTTTTACTTTCCCTGATAGAGTTAGAAAGTCATCTGACCAGAATAAAAAGCCTTACCGGATACAGCAGAATTGGCCAAAACAAAAGTCTCCATTTCTTGATGGAGCTCAAAAGGATAAAGCAAAGGACAAGAGGAAAAGAGAGATTTAAAAAAAGAAAAAAAAAAAAAGGAATAAAGGGAAAGAAAAAAGGAAATAAAGGAAATGGAAAAGGGAAAAGGGAAAAAGAAAGAAACATCACCCTACTAAAGGAAAACTGAGTCTTTTGGGAAGGTCTTACACCATCACAGGCTCCCAGAATGTAGTTTCCCAACTGTTTGAATCTGTAGGTTTATTAGAAATAAGTCTGTGTTGAGCCAGACCTTGTCTTCTACAGGGATCCAAAAGTCTGCACAAGTCTTAGAAACTATTGTTTGGCACATTTTATTTTTCACTAAGAAAAGCTGACTGCATAGACAATTAAAAAATTATGCTGTGAAAGACTGATTTTTTTAATCTTTAGGGTGGGTGATCTGTGGACTGGAAGAAATCTCTGCAGCTCCTGGCAACGTTGAACAAATTAAATAGCAGACAAGGATGATGAAGGCATTTTAGATGAATAATATACTTTTTTTTATCAGATTGGGAACTACAAATGGGTTTCAAAGAGTCTCCTTATGTGCATTGATCCAGGGCTTTTCCTATTTAAAACTGCTGCTGGAGAAGGAAGTTTGGTGTCCCAAACATGAAGCAAGACCCTTGTGAGAAAGTTTGGAAAATAACAACAGGCTGAGCTACCTCTGAAACTCTGTGGTTGTTTTCAGACCCTTTGACTTTCTGCCACCCATGAAACTAGGCATGTCATTTTTCACTGCTCTGTTTCTGTGGAGAATTATTTCTAATGAATATTTTCTCTGCTCCCAGTAGAATTGCATCTAAATGGAAGAATACAAGAAACTGGAGAAGAGGGGTAACACTGGGAACAGAATTACACTTCTCCAATCCTCTTACCTTCTTTCTTTCCATCCAAACAAACACAAAATTCTGTCAAACTTTCTGAATCCTTGTATGTGACTTCTGATTGTTCTTGTGCTCCACGACCACAGATTTGGCTTTTCACTTGTTGCCTGTTGAGTGAGAGACATGCTTTCCCATGTCTGCACTACCCAGGCCTGTGTCATTCCTAATGGCTGGAATAAAAATGAGAACCATGGACAGGCAGCAGGCCTGCATCCATCCAGCTCCCTGCAGCTGTTCCCACTGGTACTTCCTGCCTCCAGGGGACTGCCAAGTTGTGGCAGAGTGGAGCTGAGGTCTTTGAATGGTACAACACACATATATGTATGAAAAACAGCTAAATATGCCCAAATTCTCCTCCCATGTTGAATAGAGGCTGCTCTGCAGTCTTAGATCTCACATAGCAATGTGTTTTTCTTTGAGTAATGTCTATATCACAGATTTATAATCCCATAAGTAGGTGACAAGACTGACTAATCCATCATGTCTGTCTGTACATCTATTTCTCATCTCATTTCTTTTTTTCCCATTCTTTATTTACTAGAAGGAAATAAATGGATTCAGTCTATCTCCTTACCCCGTCTTTTCTTATTTCCCTGCTAATTATTAGTAGACAGACCTGGCACCCTGTCAGCAGGTCACTGCCCCATGCTATGGGGGCAGTGGTCTCACGGGCTCTCAGCTGAGATGGATCACACCACTCAGTTCTCTCCAGGGGCTGATGACAGTCTGCTTCACTGCAATCAGATTAATTTGGAAGTATGTTACTTTCCTGGAGAAAATGTCACAGAATTAGAGAGGAGAGAGATGGAAGAGGTTTATTAAATTGGTCGGTCCATCTTCCTACCAATCAATGGCAGTTCCTGACAAGGTACACTTCAGCTCTGCTCCAGCAATGTTTTCAGAGTGCCTGGTGATGTGCTGCCAGCCCCTGTCCTTGAGGGCTCTTCACAGTCGGCACCATCCCATGTCAGGAGCACTTAGCTGACCTCACGTCCTGCACCTGTGCCCTGCCTGCTGGCTGGGAGCTGTTCCTCCTCATTTATCCCCATTTCTGAGCAGCACAAGGATGCTCTGAAGACCTTCCTCCTGTTTGTTAAAGGAGGTGTTGAGCAGCACTAGTCCTGGCAGCAGCACTTGTGAAGGAATCCTCTCTGGGGCAGCACAATTTGCTGTTCATTGGGAAAGTCACCTCGATGCCTCAGGGGCACTTCCCAGCTGATGAAGCTGTGCCCTTCTTTATGCCAATAGGACAAGATACAGAGGTGCAGATTCAGACCCTTTGCTATAATATCTAATTTGCCCTAGACTTTTAACTTCTAACCCGCTCAGTGAGAGCGTATTTTAAAACAACACTTAAAAGTTGCACTGGGCTAATGAGAAACATAATTTTCATACGGTCTGTGTAAACTGGGAATGGCTTGCAAGCCAAAGCTCTACTTTCAATCTTCTACCCCTAACTGAGGGCAGAAGAGCATCTCCAAAAAGCTATGGCAGTGACTGCTGAGTAGCTACTGGTGCTGGCAGTCAAAAAACACTGAACAGTGCTGCCACTAAAGTGTCTGCAGAGATGTGTTTGCTGCATGTGATTCCCTCTTCAAATATGGGCCCCTTGCTGCCCAAATGCCTCAAACATCCCACTCTTATGCTTGCAGGACCAGCCTGCTCATGCCTGAAGGTAACGATTTATAAACTTTCTTAGGTGCAACCAACTGAACAAGAAACTATACTCAGACAGACCTGGCCAGATGGAAATTATTGACCAGGAGGAGGAGGTGCTCAAAGTGGCCTCAAAAATGGCTGAAACCAGTGGTATATATCTCATTTTCTGAGTTGTGCACTACAAAAGATCAGTGCCTGGCTCAGTTAGTGCCCTAATTTGCTGTTTTACTTCTATGCAGCCAAGTTAACCATCAGAGAATTTACAGCATTAAAGAACTTGCTCACTCCATCTTCATTACTTTCCTTAATCAGATGTGTAAGATGGTCATTGTAGCCTCATTCTCCACCAAATAACATAGAATCATAGAATGGTTTGGATTGGAAAAGACCTTAAAGATCATCTAGTTCCGCTCCCCTGTTATGGGCAGGGACACCTTCCACCAGACCAGGTTGCTCCAAGCCCCATCCAGCCTGGCCAGCTTAACATCACTGTGGACAATTAGGAAAAAACTTTTGTAAGACAGGTGGCTGTAAAGGGTGCACTGATGTGAGAAAGGAGACTGAAACAAGTCTCTGTCTCTGCCCTGTGCTCCTGCCTCGCTATTGTTAATAGCTGGATCCTGAATCAGTAGTAGCATCAGCCCTGGAGAATAAATCTTCAGCCCAGTGCATTGGATGACGTTCTCATAAAGGGAATGAGATGTGCATATATTAACTAGCTTCCCTGGCTTCCAGGGCTTGTTTAGGTAGAGGTAATATGCACAAGTAAAGCAATCTGCAAAGCAAAATATCTCCCCCAGTGCCTCAGCAATCTCAGAGGCTGATCCTGCATCTTGCTCAGCATTCTTACCACTTGCAGGGTAAAATCCAAACCCTACGTGGACGGGATGGAAGGAGGTTGAGGTCTGGTGAGGACCAGTCCTGTGGATAATGACAGAAGTCACCAGCTTGCTCAGGCACAGCTGCACTACAACAGAAACCAATGCTGTCAGCCAGTAACAAATTAGCTCCTACAAATGAATCCACTCCTGCTTCATCCTCCATCCCAACAGCTCATTTTCTCAGGACTGGGAGGCACAGACTTGACATGGTCCCAGACTCCCACTTGGAAAAAGCTGCTGTGCTGATGCTGCCAGCTTCCAATCTGGCAAAGGCCAACCCCAATTACAAAAGACGAGCAGTAGGACCAGTCTCTGCCACTGGTTTTTCAGCAATGAAAATTATGGCCTGTTCTACCAGTGCTTGCCATGAAGGATTTAGGCACTTCTCCCTCCTCTGCTGAGTCCAGGGTCTCCTCACTGCAGCCAAGGATGCTGAGAGTAGGCACTGAGTGAGTCAAAAAAATAAAATGCTCAGCAATTAATGTTTTTCACCACAAACAGAAAATGTTTTCTCCACAGAAAACCTGTCCCTACAGATGGCAAGACTTATCTGTAGACAACTAGATTTGGATGCTTTACCCTCAAACTAAATTAGTGCCAATCATAACTATAATTACCCCTCCACACCTGGACACCACCCCTGGCTGGGACTAAGCCTGTAGGATTTGGGTCAAAGCCACTTAAATCACAGAATCTAGAATCATGGAATATTCTGAGTTGGAAGAGTACTGTTGCAAGAGAATAGAAAAAATCTACACTGATTTCCACGTGCTTTGGTTTCTGCACTGAGGGAGCACAAGAGCAACTCTGGTTTCAAGAACTTGTCAGCAATGTTGTGTGTATTTATGCCAAAAACAGTCACTTTTACCTTGGCACAGGAAATTCTTTGGGGAATTTCACTTGTGACAAAGCTAATGATATAAGAAGTAAAGGGAGCACATGTCTTAGAAATTATTTAAATTATCAACTGAAACACTTCTGCCTCTACTCCACAGTCCCAATCCTCATTTTGCATCTGAAGTGCAATTTTTTCAAAGCAAGGTTACACATTTGCAGCAAATAAAATGGAGCATTTTACGAACAAAAGGTTATAAGCCAATACTTATTATCCACTTAGATAAAGTATTCCCTCTTCACCTCAATTTGCTTGTGAGAGGGAATTAGATACTACAGAAGTTTTATGGATGAGATACCTGTGACCAGCTCAGCTTGATTTATTTCCTATTGTCTTCAGGTTAGCGAGGACGAAGGCCAAGCATTGTTCCTATTGTCCTGTAGAGAAGCTCTCTTTTAACAATAGATTTATGTGTCTCCCTCATCCCCAAGCCACCTAAAAATAAGATTATATTTTGCTCATTAATCTCAACAAATTGTGTTCTGCTTTGGCCAGGAAAACTAAAGCTATCACTTTTATGGTGAGCCAGAGCTCAAGAGAAGTAACAACACAAACACTCAAGGTCAATAAAATGCACTTTTTATTCTGTATCAATGAAAATATAGCCACATGTAAATAAAGACGTGTGGAACAAAAAAATCGACATTGATCCTCCCTGAAGAAGTACAGTTCATTGTGCTAAAACCCATAATCCTTTGGGTTAGAAACAGTTGTCTGCCAATGCTTTAAAGTGACCCACATTTTCCTTGTTGTTGAATTTTAGCAAACAGAAAAAGTGCAACAAGAAGCTTGCTACAGATAAAACCGATTTGAACCGACCACACATGGCAATGTCCAAAAGTGACAGGAGAGTCACGACTAACGAAAGCGTTCCCACACATTCCTCCTGGGCAGTCACGCGAGTGGTCAAGGGAGCATCCCCTCTGTACAAACTGATGTGTGATTTTCAGTAGAAAGATGGTCCTTCCTTGATGTGATCAGATATGGTAGCAGAGGTGCATTCCTTCAATAGCTGTTCAGTTTCAAATGCTTTATTTTTTTTTTCTCTAGGTTTTTATAAGCTTCCTGCTGTCAAAATACAGTTCTCAATTGCTTTTGTAGAAATAATCCTGAAAGGCGGAGGCATTTAAAATCCCCCCAAATCCTCAGTATATTAACAAGAGCAAAAAAGATAGCTGGGCTGTTCAAAAATATTGTCAGGAACATGAATGTCATTTGCATTGGCTAGTGTACAAAGAGCAGCAAGTATTAACAAAAGAAACATTATCTGAGCAATAACCCTTTCCCCCAACTTCTTACTTGCAAAAAAAGAGTTTTCTCAAAATATTTTTCCTCCTCACAGTCCAGTGTCTGCGAATCACATACATTCAAAAGCTGCAGTTACTCTGTAGACCAGGTTTTCCAACATGAGCTTTTAAAACCAGTTGTTTTGCCCACCTTGTCCATGAGGGTTGCACAAACACGATTATACCACCTGGTGCTTTTTCAGCTAGTGGGACACCTTGAAATTTGAACTCAAAAGTAAGGACCTCAGGGTAAAAAAGGAGGCTTTAAAGCCCATTATGCTTTGAAAGTGCTGCTAATGTTAGTGGAAAGACTCCCACAAACCAGGGATTAGAGTTGACATGGTCCCTGTTAGGTGCTCAGGGGTGCACAGAGATGCCTCAGCACAAGTGTGGGACGGGGAGCGCTGGTCTGCAGATACACAGAAAGAAAAAAAAAATGCACATTGACCATGCAGCTGCATTTCAGCAAAGAAAAAGAAAGAGAAGGTAGGTTATGCCAAGGATGGATGCTCAGCACAGACCTTGTGGGTATCCCACAAGGGCACGCTGGTTTTTTAGGTTCGGCATCTCTGTGCAGGCTTGTGCAGCAGCTCCTGCTCAGTTTAGTTTTCAGTTGTTATTTGCAGTGAGGGGGGAAGCCTAAAAAAAAAGCTTAAAAAAAATAGTACCATATTTTGACTGTAACAAGGTCCTCTGTGATGACAATTCACTTAGAAAAATCTCCCCCTGACACTAATTGTGAGAATACTGTGAGCATTTTCTTACAAGGATATTTCGACAGACACCACTACAGAGCTGAGGGTGCACAGACACAGGCAAGATCATGCCCACCCCTCATCACTCTTTCCTCCCAGTATATATTCCGCATATATTTTTCTTCATTTAGGAGCTTAGGGTGACTAGTTGCTTAAACCTAAGTGGGAACTCATATGCATATCAGAGGGATGGGGGAGGCAGGGGAGGAATCCTAAAAACCATGCCAAAACTGGCCCTCATAGAGCCAGGACTTCACTCTTCAAAGCCTGCTCTGGGGTGGGGGCTACACTTCATGAAGTCCTACACAAGCTGCCCCTTCCCTGTGTGATGCTCTGCTCTGCTCCAGGTGTGGACAGAGATGAGGAAACACAACCAGGACTCAAAACCTGAGCACATCTGCCCACACCTGAATCAGCAGTGCTCAGATGGAGGGCTGCACAGCAGGATTCAGTCTCACGGTACCTGGTGCTCAACCTCCTGTCTTTGTCATCATCTCTCTCTGTGGCAGAAATAATAACTTTATTTTTAACTGTGCTTCTCCCCAGAGAGAGTTTGCACAGCTTCTGTACATATCTGACTTGTGCAAGGATATTCTAGACAGTCATGAATTTTGAGAAGTTACTTTGGATGGAAATTACTGGCAGTTCAGACACCAAGAATGTGTCTTTTGGATTCAAATATGTGTTAATTAAAAAGTGCCTTTCCCTGATGGGTTCAGCTGATTTTTATGGCAATTCACCTTGCTGTCCTCATCTTCAAACACATCCTCTACATTTCTGCCTGCAATCAGCATGCAGCATTTAGTAGGGCATGAAATCTTGGACCCATTTGCATTAGGCAAGGGCCTGAAATTAAAATTCTAGTACCCACGGTTCTCAGTTTTAAGAAAGCTCAGCCCACACTGGAACTCACTGTCCTGGTCCCTCTGCGAGAACTGGGTTAGAGAAATTAATGGAAACATTTCCACCGACCTTAATGAGAATATTTACACAAGATGCTCAAAGCCTGAAAATATTTACCTCCGAAATAGAGAATACAATTTAGGAGATCTGCTGAGACCACTTTACTGAACCACTCAGTCACTGGCTGGTATTTAAGCAGGACATTAAAAAATCAACTCTAACTACAATTCATATTAGCATATTATTTCTTCTGAACACAAATAGCAAAACAGATCATTATCTCATTAAATCTGCTGATGCAATATCACTTAATCAATCATTTCTACCAGTTGCTAGCCTAGTTACAAGGCAAGTAAACAAGAAGTCAAGAAAAGAAGGAAGGAAGGAAAAAGAGAAAAGAGATAAACAAACAGACAAAGAAAGGGAAACACTGCCTTTCATTGTGCAAAATATTCTTCTTCATATTACAAAGCTTTCAAAACACATAGAAATTAACCCAAGATATGCAGCTACACCTGCATGTAAAAGCCCAGCCAAGTGCACTATGCATAACAATAGTCAATAGGTATGTAAGGTTTATGAAGCATATCATGTCCTAATTCATGTGAGAATGGTTTGCAGGACTAATGGGATTTTGTTACATAAACTGTGCTGATAAGGCATTGGAGCTTTAAACAGTTAGCAAGAGTATTTTTATGGCTGGAATGTTTTCCAGACAAAATACGGTGAATCTTTATCTCCACTGCAGCCCCACAAGCTGCAGGCTTATTGGGGTGTCCCACATCCCTTACAGGGCCACAAATCTGTTTAAGGGCAAATAATTGACAATCAGTGACAAGCAAGTAAGAGAACAAACCTGTCCTAGAAGAAATACTGCAGTACCAGCTTTAGGAGCATCTCTGAATCACTGTGAAACTAGTGGCAGGGGGAGGCTGACACTGAGGTTAGTTGTGAAATGTGCCCATGCTAATAAAAGAGTGCTAACTATTACATTTGAGGAAACATGTTTTGTGTGTAATTTTCTGGGAAAGCTGATTAGCCAGCTCTACACTCTATAGAAACAAGCCACAACTCCCCTTGTCTGAGCACAGAGATTTTACCAGGACAGCTGAAAGGTACATTTACAGACCTGCTTTGCACTTTAACACTAATGAGCTTTTCCTCTGGTATCAATAAATTCTCCTGCTCACATGTTTAGCATTCCTTTGGCATCCATTGCCAGATAAATCCTTTATTGTCTTTCTGGTAGCTTGCCCAGTTCCCACCAGGCAGATTTTTAAAACCCAAATCCTGCCTTATTGCTAGCTACTGCCTCTCCCACTCGATAAATTGAATTTACCATTTTATAGAATTAGGCAGTTGGTGGCCCTCAGCCCTTCTTTTAAGTAAAAAAGAGATGCGGCTGTGAATCTACAGAGCACCAACAGGCAGTAAGAAGAGTTGGGAGGTGCCACTGCATCCTTCCACCCATGATTCTTTTCTAAAAGCCCCACTAGGGAGGAGCTGCAGAATAAAATCCCTTCTGTGATTGATTTCAGGAGAAGGATGCTTACACTGACCTACTGATGACCCCAAAGTGATGAGCTCTGAACACCTGCCAAGTGCAATGGGGTTGCTGGTATTCAAAAGCCAAGCTTAAACTACTAGTTTAGGTGACATTTCAGCTATGTAATTTTAAAGTACAACCTGATTGAGCTTGTTTGTAGTGCCAGGGATCCTAATTATATTTAAAATCATAAAAAAAAAAAAGAAGCTGTTGCCAAACAGCATTTGATGATTCGAGTGAAGAAGGCAGTAATTAATCCTGCAGGGACAACAGAGGACTAATTAGAAGCAGAGCAGAAATTTTGTTTTCCTTTAGAAAAAAAATGCCTTTTACCATGAGGGCTCAGATAAGACACCCAATTTACAAACTGAACTGTGACCTCCCACTAATGGTCCTGGCAGCAGCCTTGGATGCAAGTGGATTCCCAAGTGATCAGTCAGAAAATGTTGCTTTTTGTAGTTTTTTCCTAGGAAAATGATGTGTTGACAGAGAAAAGAGGTGCAATATCTCAGGAAATTCTTCTGAAACCAAGTCCAGGACAGGAAAGTGCCTGCATGTCCTGGCACAGCACACAAGGAAATGCTGAGGAGAGCCCTAGGGTCTGCCCAAGGAAATGAAGAGAATTTTTACTCTCACTGCATGGCACCAGTTCAAATTGCTGCTGGTGGTGAAGTTCACCAAAGGTGTAACTGGAGGAGGAAATCAGAGGAAATGGTCACACACATGGCAGACGCTGGACTGCATGTGAAGCTGGTGTCTCACTTGAGTTCCCCTTCTCAAACTGGCTCATTAAAATCCAAAAAACACTCCAATCCCAGCTATCCTATGCAACACTGTGCTGTTCGAGACTGTACAAAAGGGCCAGAAATAAAATAAAATAAAAATGAATGTTTGTTTAATAAAAGAATGCCCTGAGAATGGCAGAAGGCTTGTCCTGTTATTCCTGTTTAATTTGGAGACCTGCTGGTAAGATTGGATTTTGTGAGTAACCCTGTAAGCCATCATAGACATCGAGGAGCTTGCCGAGTCTGGAAAAATAACTTGTCAGTTAAATCTAATAGTGTCAGGTGTAAACTTATTTATTTCCTAGACAAGCGGGGAATAAGCCTGGGAATGGGGCTTGGGGCAGACTCCAGTGATGTGCACAGCCTTCATGGATGTGCCTGGATCCTTTGGAAAAGCTGAGGCCTTTTCAGTAATAGTGTCCACATAGACAGTGGGAGAAGCAGGCTGAATCCAGAGGGATGAGAATCACCTCCAGATCCAGCTACTAATGAGAAATCTACTTGCCACTGCCCTTCACACATTTCCTACAGCCTTGGATGTTTGCCAGGGCAACACCAAAAACCAGCTCAAATGCTATTGATTTTTTGATGGCATTTTCAGACACGGTAATCAGCTTTCACTGGACTGGGGATGAGGCTGGAAGAGGGTGTGGGTGTTGTTGATGCATCCATATTAGCCCACTGCTTCCAGAAACTGCATAGTCACCGAGACATTATTCTCAGTGTTTGGCATCAAGTGTGGATTTTAGCTGACACCCAGTGAAAGGCTTGATTTATTTATATGCCATAGTTTTAGAATATGCCAAATTTCTCTGCTGTCTGCTTGATGAGTATTGGCTGTTAGAAACAGTTATTATCTTGAAAATTGGCACCACATTCCTCAGTATGATATTTAAACTAAAAACCAGAAAATAATGGAATGTAACTAAGAACCTTCCAATTTTACCTCCTGTTTGTGCTATTAAAATCTACAGAATCACTGAATGGTAAAACATCACAGCTTCGAAGGGACCTTTTGTAAATCACTTGGTCTAACCCTCCCTGCTTATAGCAGGCTCAGCTTCAAATATAGAGTCTGTATACTGATGATACACAGTTTGGATACGATATGCCCCTTTCCAACAGGTCTTTGGCAAACTGGAAGAGCTTTGGCTCTTCTGAAGCCCACATATTCCTCTAAGGATACATATCTGAGTCTCCTCTAATGGCCCTTCCCTGTCCCACAGCTGTCACTCCAGAAAGGTCTGCCAGCCACATCCTTATACACCACCTGAAGGAAAGAGGAGTCTGCCAAATTCCAAATAAATAAATTTTGGAGACACAAACAGTAACTGTGCAGAGACAATATGGCCTTCAGTGGAATATTGTCACTATTTTTTGACACCATTCTTTATATCCTTCTCCTCTCTCTCCCCACTCTCCTCCCACTGCACAGCACAGAGCCAGGGCTCTGCTGTGTCCTGGGCCACCACCACTCTCTGTGTACCTTGGAAGCTGCTCTTCACTACAAGTCTTCCCTTCACTGGACATTTCCAAGCCTTGTCATCTTTCCACTGCAAGACACAGCTCAGCACTAAAACTCCTATCACCCTAAATACCCCAGAGCAGCCAAAGATCCCAAATAGGTGACAGTCTTTCACTGTCCAAAAATTGACTGGTGATGCCCATCTGTGCCTCAGCATTGCACATCATGATGAAGAGCACCTCAGCTGCTATATACCTGTGAGTGACAATGAGGGTCCCTGGACTATCCTGTCATGGTATTGGGGTAAAAACTTAAAAATCTGATCACCCCAAGCCAAGAATTGAGCATCCTTGGTCTTTACAAATGTCTAATTAACAATTCAGGAGGTGAACACTGTCTCTGGCTGCATGCTGAGGAATTTCAGTGTTCCCTGTACTGTCAGTCACATCTATGTGAAAATGCTCCAGTGCTGGAAAGATGGTAAGCAGACTCTTTTAGAGACACCTTTTAATACAAACAAGATCAGGCTGGGAGATTGAATCATGGGTTGGATTCACTCCATTTACCCTCTAGCAGTCTACAAATCAAGTGTCTAATCTGAAGTCATTACTCTACAGTAAATGATGAGAGACTGGCCCCTCCAGAGCAGGATTTATCCCACCTGTCTGAAACACCTGTCTTAAATGAACCAGATCTGATTCCCTATTCCAAATGGGCAGGTATATATCCATATGGTGTGTCTATACATCCTCTGCAGGCAGGCAGAAATATACTCTGCCATTGCTCAGTCTGAACCGAATCTGCTCTGAAGCAGACAAAATACACTCATGTCACTGGAGGGGGAGGGCTGAGCTCAACCCAACACAAAATCCTTTTTATAGGGCTTTTAATTAAGGCTAATTGATGTATTCATGGCAGACAGCCAGACACAGAGTTGGTGCACACCCATAGTCTCAGACTGTGGGTCAAACAAGCTTACAACTCCAAGCAGAAAATAGTGAAGAAATGCTTTTTTCTGCTTTATAGAAAACAGATAAAGAGGTTTGTGAGAATACTGCCCCAGATTCCTGTTTCCACCTGCCATGCATCAGGAAGCTGATTAACATAGCATAATATAATAAATAAATACAATTTATTCATCATGGTCTGGTCAAGCCCTTTCTGAATGCTTCTATCATTGGAGTATTCAAAATCAATATATGCCTTCTTGTCCCACTGTGCACTACAAGGTCAATTTTGTGTCTGACTAAATGTACCCTCAGTAAGGATGATTTTAGTTTGTCATTTGTTAGATATCACAGAGCTGATCTTTGCACAATATTCTTTATGTCAATAAGAACATTCACCACTTTTCTGCCAGAAATAATGTGGACTTCTTGTCTATTTTAGCTCCATTCAGCACCTTGCTTTAAGAATGTATTTCATTTGGAAATGCACTATAACATACTAAACCAAATAAAACACGCAGACACTGTGTTATCCATTTGTACCAAAAAAATAAAGTGAAAGTTTTAAAAAATATTCCCAGATGTGGAAATCTAGACAGATCAAAGTCCTCCTCCCTGTGGGCTCCATGGGAAAGCACCACACAGACATATGTGAAGGGCTGGGGCCATCCAGGGAAAGTGACCACGTCAACTTTTCTATTTCCTTCCTTGAAGTCCCTGAAGGGTATCAGAGCAGATGAGAAGTGACAAGAAAAAGGCAAACTAATGCTGTTCAGTGCTCACAGCTCTCACTGCAGCTCAGGACAGGAGAGCCACGCTTCCCGGGCTGCCATGAAGAGATGGATTTCTCCAAAGGAATCCCACTTCTCAAACCCTCTCTAACAAGTTTGTTAGAGCATTATAGGTCCTACAGATATGAAGATATGTGTTAACACAGGAGCTTCTGGTACAAAAGGAAAAAGAAAAGGAACTGAAAAAGAGCTTTCAGATACAGCCTATTAAAAGCAACATTAACAAAACCCATTCAAAGCCTCTTTTGTAGGAAAATTATATTTGAAGACTTCTTTTAATAAACAGGTATCACTTTGACACTACCTCACTTTGGAAAAAAGTATTTATTTTAAGAAACAATCTGTCCAATTCTGACATCCAAAAAGAAAGGCTTGGGTTTTCTAAATGCTCAAAATCCAAGTAAAAAAGTTCAATTCCTTATAATATATCCCTCTATGTCCTCACTCCCAAATTTCACGTTAAATATTTGGCTTTTTTGTTTTCCTATCCAGTTAAGGACATCTTTTCCCCCAAAAGGCCTCCAAGCTATTTCATGAGCACAACATCTGTTTTCTGACCCATGCAAACGATGACGTCTGTAGAACTGTCTCACTTACTTCCAGAACGACTGCTCTCAGCTTGCAAATAGGACAATGTTATTTCTGCAGTTTCCAGTTCTCTAAAATTGTCCTGGGATCCAAAATACATATTAAGGTCCAATATGATTATCAGATTCAACCTTCAGTTCACACCTGTACAACAGGGTTACTTTCCATGTGGTGGCAAATGAAGACTGAACTTGAGTCTAGCAATAAACCCAAACTTTGGTGCCAGCAGCATTGAGTCCCTACAGTTGTTCTACTTCTGCAGAACAGGGAAAAGAAAAATGGGCAAAGCTTAAGTTTGTCACTTCCAGAGTCAGCTCTGCTCTAACCCCTGTCCCCTGGTAAAGACAGAAAAATGGGAAAAAAAGGATTTACAAATACAGATTCAGAAGAACTGAATCTTCACGACAACAATATTTTTTTTTCAGTTATTATCCTGAAGTGCTGTTCTATCTTGTATATGCAACATTACACACCAAAAAAAATGTTATTAAAAGTACTCTAGTTCATTTGCTTTGAAAAGTGTTTACTTTTCTGTACACATTTTATTTCTATTTCAAAGTCCAGAAAGATAAAATCCACTCGTGTGCAGGTAAAATGCTTTGAACACACAAAGCACAAGGTAAGTGCTAAGAATGCTGTTACCAGCATCTGGCAGAGACATCTGTACAGGAATACAGTTCCTAAAGGAAAGGAGAGCATGCAGCCAAGAGCTCCCCCCGCGCGGCGCGTAGCTGCTTGAGCACTGGCTTGGGTGGAAGTGACACCTTGGTGTCCTTATTGCACTTAATGACTACAGGTGGTTGCTTTCAGTCAAGCCTGAGCTACAGGAGTATGACTCATGCTTCTCTAAGAGAAAAGGAATGTCCCAGTCGGCAGCACACTCATCGCATCCATGCACAACCGCGAGGGGCCGGGAAAGGCGAACCGGGAACGACCCCACGAAACAACACATAATGCTCCCGTCATGAATTCAGGAGGCAAAGTCCTTCAGAATTGTACAAGTCAAATTTTCAGAACAAATCCACGAACTTGGCCCCCAGCTGCCCACCCTTCCATGACACAGAGCCTGGGACAGCTCACCCACAGGCTGCATTGATTGTGTCTGCAGGACACCCATCGTGCTACTGCCTTCTACAAGGTACAAGCTGGTTCCACTGAATTTGCCATGGATAATATTGGAATATCAGAGTCAAAGCAGCATTAGGAATAGACCTGGAAACACCATATTTGTTTCATGAACTTGGTATTTTACACTATTTAGCCACTACACATTTTAACCACTCAAGTTGCACTTGAACTGTAACAGACATTCTGGGCCCGCCCAAATAATTTTCAAGGTCAGATTAATCCTGTTAACACATTCTCTCACTGTAAAGTGGCACAAAATTACACCTGACTTGCAAGATAATCCTAAACAGAGATCCCTGTGCATGCCATGCAGTTCTACCTAGAATTAATATCAGTTACAGAGAAAGAAAAGAAGTCTGTCACAAAGGCAGAGGAATGCCATTAAGGCTAAAGCTTTCTAAAAAAGTCACCCCCCATTATCCTGCTGGCTCTTTTGCAGCATCTCTTCATGGCAGATTCATGCATTCAAGGAACTTTACCAAAACCTGGCCCCCAGACAGCCTGTGTGCCTCAGCTATTCACCAGGCAGCTCTGGGTGGTCACCCAGTGTCTGTCCTGACCAACAAACCAAGTCAGGCAAGAACATTCAACACTTCAAAGCTTGGCACTTAAAAACTGTACCCACAAGGTCTGTGCAGACTCCAGCAGCCTGCAGCAATCATGTAACTCCCTAAGCCTATAACCCCCCCATTCTTTCAGAGTCTCAGGGTGGGATTTATCGTAGGACATGGAAGGTCCTGCTGTTCTGCAGGTGCGGATTGTTCTTGCAGTCCAAAGCACGGCTGCAGAGTTGTGGAACTGCACTTGTGTCAGAACAGCAGCTGCAAAATACCACCGAAAATTTTGACAGCAGCCACCACAGCTGCGGAAAACTATAATGAGCAGGCGGTCTGACCACCAAGCTTTGGGAAGAGCTGTCCCTTTCCATGGTTTTTTTTATACTTCCCTCTTGTTTTTTTTTTTTTTTTTTTAAACTGTTTTTTTTTTTTTTTTGGGTGTCTATAATTTCCTAAAGAAAGTGGCAGAAACAGGACAGAAAAGAACAGCAAATAAGAAAGACTATCATCACCCAAAAAGCCTCCATAAGTTGACATAATAGAAGCAATGACTTCTTTGGCTTTCTTATGAGCTTTTCGAGGTTTAGGGGTTTCGGTCTCATAGCTGAAGACACATTCACCCTAAGATGTAGGTTCCTAGTTGCCACTATTGCAAATGATGGTTTGTTTGGGTTTAGGGGTTTCTGTTAGTTTTTCAGGAAGCGATTTAGTTTAGTTTAGTTTAGTTTTCTAATGTTAAGTAATGGATCTAATATCAGTTTGTGGTAAGGATGCCCACTAATTATAAACATATATTTGATATACCTGATTCATAGTGATGCCTTGTGGTACATATGTGTTTTACTCAAGGCACTTTCGAAAACACGGGATCTTGATGCAAGAGGTCATTTAAATTGGAGGCAGGGGGAATCCTTCTCTGAAGAAGCCATTGTGCTCTGCTGGGCTGACCTCAAGCCATACCAGGCAACAACTCTGAAGCTGCAATGGCAGTTTCTGCTATGCATTGCATATACCTGGATTCAAACCAGTGCAAATGGAGAGGCAAAAAACTCCACCACTCTCAGGTGCAGACACAAGCGGAGTCCAAAATCTCAGCTCAAAATTGGAGATCAAACAGGATCCAGTGCAAAGCCTGCCCTGCTGCAGCCCTGCTAAGCCAGCAAAACCACATGGAGAGTAATGCTCCAGCCTAGGAGGTGGAAATGGCATCTGAACGTGATCCAAGACTGGAAGATGGGAGTCAGCTCAGAGGTGGGTCAGAGCCTCTGACACAGACCTAAGGGAATCAGTAACTATGGTGACTGGCTGGGTGGGCACTGCAAGCCTGCTCTTGAAGTGTCCCCCCTTCCTGCACTGAAACCTTCCATGAGTCCAAGGTAAGAGCAGCAGGTAGCACCCTAGGGAGGACTCCATCTCCCCTCACACCCACCACTCTCCCACCCACACATCATCATCCAGGTGCCTTAGATAAAGGGAATTTCACCCTGAATGGTTGTTTTCTCTCTTTCTAAATGCAGTTGCAGACTGATAAACGACCTCAGGAAAGAGAGTGGAAGGGGATTAACTTCAGCCTTTTAACTTCGGGCTTTCAAACCTGCTCGCAAGAGGCTGAACTACAATTGTTCTCTCCCTTGCTCAGACATCATGCAAAGTCTTTCTGCCAAGGGCAATAGGGGGGACAGTGGGAGAGCAATCTCAACCCTACAAAAATGGGACATGCTAATGAAGATACTGACAGAACCGGACACCATCACTGAGTGCTGCAAAGAGAATTTACATAATGTTACTCTAACAGTTCAGTAAAAATGGCATCAGTAAAAGGAGGCTTTCATGAAAGAAGTTACCCCCAAACACCCAGTGCAACTGAGTTTCTGTTAGTTTCATTTTGTTACATAAATTGCTATTATTATTATTATTTCTTACTTACGATGTTAACAGAGCAGGAGGATACTTGAAATAAAAGGCTGTGCATGCACAATACCCACACAAATAAATTCCAGTGATCCACCCCAGCACCAGGCATGGTGCCCTTCCCTGCCCACTGAGCTGAGCCCTCCCTGTAGGAGGAGTAGGGGAATTCATCACCAAATATACAGTATATTGTCATGGAATGATACCAGGAAACAATACTAACAGGAGTCTGAACGTGTCCTTCACGTCATATTAATCTACTGTTTAACTCGGCAGAAAAGACAGTGAGGAAATAAAAGCTCAATTCACCCAGCCTGAGATCAAAACTGTCATGGCAATATTGGCAGGTTAGACCCTGATTCTTTAAATAGTACATTGCCTTTGTTAAACAAAAGTCATTCTTTTATTACATAATAGAGATTATAAATAAAGGTAAAGTGTGCATGCAGTCAACTGCATATTATACAAGCAATATCTATGTTAATAATTGCTTTCTTTGGCAGGCCAGAATCCAGCTGGACATGCAATATTTACATATCAAAATCCTTGGTGTGTTCAAGTCATATTGGATGCAAGTGAAAATATATATGTATATATATTTACCATATACACACACACATATATATATATGTATAAAGGTATATATACAGCTCTGCATATATACTGTATACATATATACACATAGGTATATGCTAAAAGTGGATTTCATCTTTTTCTGATTCAGGTGATGCAGGCCTTGAAACACTAAAAATATCCTGACAGGATATCTGGGGGGGTAGTTGGGGTGATAAATGAGACTTGGGGGAAGAGATCTGGGATACGTTCTTTTCAGACAATAATTTTAAAATTTCTGCCACCTGCTTCTCAAGGGCAGCCATCCTACTGCTTAGCAGCTGGATGTCTTCTTTGAGTTCGTGCTTGACTTCCTGCAGCGTGGTTTGTAAGGCCTGCTCAGGAATGGGGTAGAAAGGACACCTGGCATCCGCCTGAATGGGGCTGTGTTCCAGGGGGCTCCGAGTCTCACCAGCTTTATCCAAGCGAAGGTCACTTTTTGTTATTCCACTGTCACAAGAGTCTGTTTTCCTCAACGGGTTTTTATTTACACCGTTCTCCGAGTCATTGGACTTGGGGTCGTCGGACAGCAACCCCATGGACTCGGCCTTTGTGACGTTGTTCCAGTCCTCCTTCTTCTCCTCATGGGCCCCCATCGTGTTCTTCAGCCGAAGCCACCCCTTCCCGTTCCCATTTTTCATCCGCATGGGACTGTTCACTTTGAGACATTTTTGGTCCCCGTTTCCGTTTGGCTTGAGCTCCATCGCATCCCGGTTGTTCTGCTTCACGGCCTCACTGGTTTTCATGTAGGCCAGGGTGGTCTGGATGGGGGTGATCTGAGACACAGTGACCACGCTGGTGCCCGTGATGGAGGCCCCGTTCTGCACGCTCCGGCTTTCCACCTGAAGCTGGTTCCTTTCCGGGTCGACGTGGGTTGAGCCTTGATTGCGCATCTCCTTTTGCTGTTTGAATTTCTGGAAGAGTTTCCGCACAGGGTGGTCCACAGGGATGCTCAGTGTCACCTCGTTCTTCTGGCGCAGGCGTTCCTCTTCTTCCTTCTTGACATCGCTGATCTTCCGGAAGATGATCTGTGGGGGATAAATCCACAGCAGAGTCAGTATGCAAAGGACATCACATGTGGCAAATATTAATGTGACATGGGGAAACAGTATTGAGAACAGCCATTTCTATCTTAATTCTTTATTTTGATCTTCCTTTCTGTCTTAATTTTTTGTAGTGAATTCAAATGGAGCCGATGAAGACACAGTAACCTCAGATATATGCCACAGCACATATAGGTTACATATATACACGCACACTTTCTTAAAAGTATAGACTAAAAGTGGATTTAATCTTTTTTTCTTGATGTAGAAGATAGAGCCTTGAAGAACTAAAAATACCCTGACACCAACAGAAGGAAAGAAACTGAATAAAGCAAAGAAAGCAAGAAAGCGAGAACCCAAATACTGTGATCCCTACCCACCCATTACTCACACTCATACATGCTCTCTCACTATCTTTAGTACAATCAAAAGGAAACAGTAATTCAGTGGAGACTACACAGCTGTAAGATTAATTCAATGTACATACCCTTCCAGAGACTGGAAAATCCAAATGTGTTCAATACTTTTTAGCTTTGCTTATCGTTAGCTTTGCAGGAGTGGCTGGAGGGTGTAATTAGGTTCACCATGGGCTATGTGTGTGGTTTCACACACTACACAAGCGTTTCCTAGAGAGTTTGTATGTCTAGTATGTGCAGGTGTACTGGGAGCACCACGGAGAAGCAGCATAAAACCCAGCAATATCCACCATTTCATAATGCCATGCCATCTAATGCTGCAGTTATTTCACCCTGCAGCATGTCTCAGGGTTCTACAGAACAATGAATTTCAGCCTCAAGCTGGGAAAGGATCAACAGACTAAAAACCTTTCTGTTGATTTTTCTGCGTGTTACTTGTATGATTTTTATTTAGGTTCACCCAGTTTTCTTGAATGTGGGACTGAGGCAGGATAGGGAAAATCTGGTTCTCTGGTTAACAATTCTAAAGTGAAAAGCAGCATGTGATTAAATGTAAATATGGACTGCATTCTTACTTCTGTGGTAAGAAAAGGAAAAAAAAGTCCCTGTAATACACAAACAAAACCCCGTGACAGTCAGCTGTAGTTTTGAAAGATCCATTTGAGTATCCATATTTCAGTATCTATTTACTTTCAAGTCTCATATCTTCAGAAGTCAGCAGAGCAGTGCCACGATGGCTACAGATCCTTCCCCGCATGAATCTGGGATGAGCTGGACTTCAAAGCTTCATTAGAGCGCTTTCAAATGCAGTGAATAATATCCTTGCATGCTGCTGATAGATGCAGCTGCTTATAATAATTTGGTTAACATGTTTATTAGAAGGCTAGTTAAAAAAAAAAATAAAGAAAACTGAGGGAGAAACATAGAAGCTACTTTCATCTGACGACTCTGACCTAGATGCACGGACACCTAACCTCTTTTGGAGGCTCCCCTTCATTAGTGGTTGCCCTCATGGAGCTTCTCTCTCTTTCTCTAAGATAAGCCACTGGGGACAGCAAATAAATGCAAGAGAAGTTGCCCTTGATTCAAAATTGAGTAATTACACTTAATTGAAGCCACGCTCTCTAAATGCAGATTTGGAAGGTGGGTTGTGTGTGATGTTTGTGCTTCTCTTTCCCTGAAGGGCAGCGCAGTACCTCTGGCAGAAGATGCAATAGTGAAAGCAACCAGCTGCAAGGGTGTGTCCCCAAGTTGTGTCTCAGGGGAGAAGGCTGGTTCCTCCACTCGTGTCCCTCTTTGCCTGTGCTACTCTGCCTTGTGCTTTGTCAGGTCAGAGGGGCTGGGTCCCTGAAAAAAACCTGCAGTGGGAAAAAATCCTGTACCCAATGTCTTACAAGGGCATGTAGTGACAGGACAAGGGGGAATGGCTTTAAAATGAAAGACAGTAGGTTTAGTTTGGATGTTAGGAAGAAATTATTAACTGTGAGGGTGGTGAGGCCCTGGAACAGGTTGCCTAGTGAAGTTGTGGATGCCCCATCCCTGGAAGTGTTCAAGGCCACGCTGGATGGAGCTCTGAGCAACCTGTTCTAGTGGAAGATATCCCTGCCCATGTCGAGGGGCTGGAACCAAATGGTCTTTAAGGTCCCTCCCAATCCAAACCGTTCTATGTTTCTATGATTCCCCTGCTTTCTGGCCACGAGCCTATTTCACAGCTTGAGCACCCTCCTCTCCCACAGCTAGTCTGTGCCTGGCAGTTGGCGGCTGGAGGCAGCCGGGGATGCTGGAAGGCAGGCAGCTGCCTGCAGCCCAGCAGGGGCTGGCAGCGTTCCCCTGTCCAGTGCAGCACTGGATGTGCCACCGGGAAAGGCACAAGGTAACTTTGACAACTTCTGTCCTGCTGAATGTTTATGAAGACCAGAATGACAACAACAAAGACCACAGCACCAGTTTTTGATTCCTCTCCAAAAGCTGGCACTTCACCGTAAACTACCTTCACCTCCCTTTTTTCCCCAGACCAATCTTTCTTTTCTCCCTCTTCTAGTCGCAGTTCAAAACTTCCCAGGCAGAGGTTATCTCCCTGCACAGAATATAATTACCCATGACTGCTGCTGTGCCTTCTGCAGAAGAAAAACCAAGACTGCATGAATTTCACAACACCTGTACCTCATACTCCTGAAGTGGGTCCTAATGAAAGCCAGGAAATGCCTCCAGGGTTTTTTTGCCCCAGAGCCACTTGGCCAGATGACCACTTGGAGGAGTTGAGCCCAGTGCCACGAGGGTCTGAGCCTGAGTGCTGCCATGACTCAGCACAGAGCTAATGCTTTGGAGAAAACCAAACGTGTTCCTGCTGCAGGGATGGGCAGCCAAGGTGACAAACACCATCACCGCTAAGCAAGCGAGACCAAGGGCCCACTAAACCCTCACAGCTGGGGGCTTTATGCCCCCTTTATGAGCATGCAGTGGAGTAGACACACACCCAAAGTCCTGCTGTCACCTCCTCAGGAGATGTTCCTTCAGCTTCTTGCAGGACACAGGCTGGAGCCTGGCAGAGCTCTCCAATAAATTATTTCCTCTTTCTCCTCTTGGGGCAGGGAGTGCTACACCTTGGAATGACTATGGGCAGCTCCTTTGAAGGAGCAAGCCTGCTGCACTCTGAATTACCTCAGAAAATACCCAGGGACTCAGAAATTTGGGGGTTAGCTGAAACTCAAGAATTCAGGACTGATCTACTTTCGTAGAGCCCTATTTCCAATGGAGCAAATACTGATGCACAGCCCTGGGCCCACTCCCCCCTTGGCCTTCTCATGTAGGCTGTATGTATTTATGGCTGTTTGATGTCTTCTTTTTCTAACCAGGCCCTCATATCCCAGCTGACACTGTGAGATGATGGCCCTTTGGATGGAGACTGGGGTCTTGGTCCTCACTCACCCACTGAACTACTCTGCCATCGTGAGGAAATCATTTCATCCCATGGAGACCTTCCCCTCTTCAGGACATCCATCCACAACCAAGGAAGCTGTACACCTAGCACAGCAAGGATCTAGTTTTGGTCAGGAGTACTTGATATCAGTATAATATGTACAAATAAAAGAAAGATTTTCTTATACAGACAAAGAACTGAGGAAAGAAAAAAAAGGAGATGTGAATTCTAGCACTAAAAGAGCAATAGTTATTTTTCATTACCAATTTCTTCCATATTAGGAGTTTTTTCATGTGGTTGGATTTTATCCACTTCCACAAATGTTTAAACTAAGCCAGAATAGTTAAAATGTGTTTACATTTACAAATGTTTACATGGAGACAATTCTATTAATGTCCAATAACTATTACCAGATATTTTTCTTCATAAATTAGAACAGAAAAATACCTCATGCAATCTGACATTCCTTAGCAAATTGGGAGAGGCTTATTTTGAAACCTTAAATTTGTCTCTGACCCTTTTCAGAGAGGTTACACATAGGCCTGTCCAAATGTATGTCCCAGGAATAGACACAAACTTCAAACAATTAATCAGAAGAAACTGAATTAACTGTGTGTATAGCACACCTCAGGGAGTAAAGAGCCGCACTCCTGTCTCGCACCAAGTTCTAAATCCATTAATGTGACAGAGATTAAGTGTAGGACTTCATTCTTTATGGATGGGACTGTGAAAGACTGTTCCATGTAACACAAATCCTGTCCCATGGGATGGTTTTTCCTGCTTTTAATGTATTTATTTTGGGAAGGAGGGACAACAGAGGTGACATTAATTATTGACCTTGCAAAGAGAAAGCAGCAGTTAACTGATAGCCAGCCATGGGGACTGAAATATTTGGGTTATCTATGAGTCAGGCACAGAGGAGACAACAGCAACTTGAGATTCTCCATTTGAGTTGAACCCCAACCTCCTTTCCCTTCCCTCCACACCAAGAGGTAACTCGTCGTTACTGTGAACTCAATCCTTAGCAAAGTCAGACCTTACCACAGGTACTGGCAATGGATATGTTACTGCTGGCTCTGTGAGGTGTCAGCTTGTATAACTGGACCCAAAACCAAGTGCAGATGAGGACAGCAGCAACGACAAGTCAGGGAGTCAGCTCAAGGCTGAGACACCCACAGGTTCTCCCATCTACCGCTGAATTAATCAGTAAAGCTGTGGCCTTTCCAGATACTTTGAAATTCATCCCTTGTCTGCTGTCTTTTTTTGTACCAGCATGGCAAAAATCATTCCTCCTTGACCTTGCTCCATACACAAAGATCCCTTAATAAGTGACTCCAATGAAGGTACATGAATGGATTAAAGAACTGGTAAAAGTCTTGAAGAATTACAGTAAGTTTCTAAAAAGTAGGAAGTATTTGACCAGAGAGCATCCTTTCCTGTCCCTGAACATCCCATGCTGTTGTTAGTGGCATTCAATATGTGCCTGCTCCTCAACACGAAATCCAGATAAACAGAGAGTGATGTAGCAAAAGGGCACACAGTTGTCATGGTGATGGAGGCAGCAGGTGTGCATGGACTGAGAGAGAGGAAAAGCCACACGAACCCATCAATACAAAGATTTCCACAGTGACTAATATACTCTGAGTGCC